AGTTCAATACCCGGTTAAGGCAGTGAAGAACTAGGAGAGGTGAATTAACAGGAGATGACTAACATCCATTAAACACGGTACGTGGAACTAGAACAGTCTACCCTAGTGAGCGAAATAAAGGGTTCAGTTCGACATTCCAATCACCTGAAGAAGGCCGTAGCGCACAACGGCCGAAACGTTGTAATAAATATGGCGACAAAGATGAGGAGAATAGTCCGAATAATGTAAAGAAGAAAGAAGCGTGTTATTTTTCCCCACTGAAGTCTATACATTGTATTCCCCACCCAGTAACCCCCTTGCGTCTTAGTGGCATTATCACCTTGCTTTGGGGATCGTATCAGAACCGGTCAAACTAGAACGGCGGCTGGGCGATCGTATCCCTGTCTATTAGCGTGGGTAACATCAAGAAATCACGTTGACCAAGATGAGATTCGAACCTGGGCCTCATGATCGGAAAGCGTAGTAGCAATAATGTAGGTGTAAGTCATTAATTGCTAATTTAATTTTGACGCTCTCAGCAAAGATCTTACTGTCAGAAATACCTTCCCCTCCCCACGAACCTACCAAAATCTTTCTTGCCTTCAAATGTATTCATGTCAGGCTTCTTTAAATAGTTGGGAGAGGGTATAAAAAAAAAGGTGAAAAGTTAATTATTATTTTTAGATTAACGAGTAGACAAGTGTTGATGTTTATCCGAATATTATCTCTTTGAAGACGTTAACCCCAACACCTGTCCAGCCATTACTATTTATGAGGCAATTAACAAAATGACATTTAAGGAAAAAAGTCAATACAAAACTGTAGCAATCTACAGTATCCGCTCTAAAATGTATAGTCACTTTTAACAGTATTTAAATATATAATTACACTATTTATATTTAATATTTTTAAAGGTGTTCCAGATTTTAAAAAATCATTGTAATTAAACTTTCAGAAAACGTGATGTAGTATAATAAATTTATCGAAGTTTCAAACAATTCAATTTTCTCGCAGATATATGTTTAGTTTTTCACGCGGAACACAAACACACAGACACTGTTCAAATTTTTGAACACGCTCCTCCCAAAATTATAAATTTCCTTTTTTTGAGCCCAAAATTAACAGAAACTGGTCTGGTAGATGGCCACCATTGGTGTTAGAAACAAACCATATTTTAAATTAGTAAATCATATATATATATATATATATATATATATATATATATATTTTTATAGTATAAATATATATATATATATATATATATATATATATTCCCTTTATACCATATATATATATATATATTTAAAAATATATATATATATATATAAATTTACTTTATATATATATATATATATATATATATATATGATTCTTTTATATATATATATATATATATATATATACTTTATTATATATATATATATTTACTTTTATTATATATATTATATATATATATATATATATAGTTTGCCTTTTATATATATATAATATATATATATATATATTTTTATTATATATATATATATATATATATATATAAATTTAAATTGAATATATATATATATATATATATATATATTTAATTTTATATTTATATATATATATATATATATATATAATTACTTTATATATATATATATATATATATATATATATAAATCTTTATATATATATATATAAATTTACTTTTATATATAAATATATATAAATTTACTTATATATATATATATATATATATAAATTTATTTATATATATATATATATATTAATTTACATATATATATATATATATAAATTTATTATATATATATATATATATATATATATATATAAATTTACTTATATATATATATATATATATATAAATTTTTATATATATATAATTTTATTTATATATATTTATTTTTAGTTTAATATATATATTAATATATATATATATAAAAAAATTTCTGGGGTAAAGTTTTAATCAAATTTTTAATGGAAAAAATTCAATTTAAAATATATAATTATGTGTGCCATCAACAGACTGTTCCGCTGTATTACAGATCATCGGTGTGGCTAAACATCCGATTTTCCTCAAGCCAGGATCGATTTGGCACCTGTCGGAGATTTTCCCCTGGGCTATCAGGGAAAAAACAGCGGAAGGTGAATTTTTACGTATTTATTTTAGAATAAACAGATCAGTGACTCATAGAAGAGTTTTGCAGTAGCAGTCACTGTTTACCAATTCGCGTTTTTTTTCCTATTGTTTTCCACGTAGTATGCATGTTATATAATATTATGTATGTATGTACCTGCTTTTTGACCATGAGACACGGGTTCAAACCTCACCAGTGTCGATTTGTCAGGAAGGAGGCTTTGTCAGGACATCTTTTGTAAAGTGCCTGAAAATCATACTAGCACCTTGCATTATTAGAAATAATAGAAATATGATTTAATTTTTTTTTACTCGGTTTATTAAACAGGTTGTTATTTTTTTAGGCGAAAAATAATTGAGTTTGAAAATAATTCACTAAGATTGTATTTAGACGATCCTAAAAGAAAAAAGAGAAGAAGGAAAAAAGAAAAAAAAAAAAAAGAGAGGTCGAGAAATACAAAAAGCGGTCATTAACAAAACACGTATCAGAAAGGTAATTAGGCCAACATCTTGGCCGATTTTCGAAAGAACAATGGGATTTGTTATTTAGAAATAAAAAAAAGAAAGAGAGTGGAAGGGACCATGCTTGAAAGAGTGTATTGATAATAAAAAAAAATCGGTCAAAGCACATGACCGACTTTTGCGTAGAAAGACTCATTATCAATTTGGAGAAAATTTCTTTTTTAGAACAATGGAAACGATTTTTTTAATCAGAGAAAAGGTGTGTTTTTGGGTTGAGGGGGGTGACCGGTGGAATTGTATACAGATTCTGACCTGTTAAAAATCAGGAAACCCACGATAATAAAATGGAGACATTTTCAATTCAGATAATTAAGATTTTTGACTGTCAGGTCTGAAAAAACAAGAGGAAAAAAGGACAACTTTTGCTCACAGAGGACGCCAAAAAGGGCGAAAAATTCTTCCCTGAAGTCACAACTAATTAGCGGCGGGCTGTTTGACAGAGCCCAGGTGAGAAAAAGCCAAGATTGTCATTTTTCGTGCGTGCAAAAAAGAAAAAATTGGATTTTTGTTTTTTTAAAACAAGAACGATGTAAACCACGCCCGATTGGAGGGAAAGGATGTCCGATCACAAGTCTCATTAGCCGAAGACGGTCACGGAACCGGGAAGAGGGAGGAAAGAATGCTCGATCAAGGACCATTGGTCGAAAACGGTCACGTGCATGAAAAGAGGAGAAAGAAATGCTCGATCAGGAACCATTGGTCGAAAAACGGTCACCTGACATACGAGAGACCGGGAGAGATGGGTGTGCGCCTCCCCCCCAAAGGCACTGTGAGGAAGTAGGGGTGAAAATAATAGCGATAATGGGAAAACAGAAATAATGCGGCTTTTGGAATTATCGAGAAAACCCTGACGCCGACAGACCCACCCCGGTTTGTTGCGGCGTCAATAAAAGCAGGACCCCAGTCGACAGAAATCAGTTGCGGCTGAGTTGCGGGTTAGACGACCAGAACTGTTGGAACGAACCATCGGGTCCGATTCAAGAAAATTCCCTTGCGGCAAGAAATCCTTCCAGCCCAAGTCGAAGACAAGAAATCCTTCCAGCCCAAGTCCAAGAGAAATCCTTCCAGCCCAAGTCGAAGACAAGAGAAGTTCCATCTAAGTCGACGAAGAAGAAGATTACTCGAAAGCCGCGGAGAAGTTGCAGCCAAGTCGAAGACCAGGCGAAAAGAGTTACTTCCTTGCCCAAGTCGAAGACAAGAGAACAGAATTCGACCAGCCTAAGTCGACGAAGAAGAAGAAATACAACTCAAGTCGAAGAGAAGAATCAACTGCGAATGATTGATAGAAATTAGCCCCAGTGTCGAACTAAACCACACTCCGACATACATAATTCTAAAGAGTAGGCAATTCGAAATCTTTTAGGTTGTATGATAGAAGCTTGGTGCCATAGTCCACAGAGCGGGTCGGGAAATGAGAACAATTTTTTTTTATGTAACGGACATTAGATATAAAAGGTTGTTACCCTTTTTTTTTTATCAGTAATTTTTTGTCTCGTGAGTTTTTTTTTTCTTTTACTTGTGTTTTGCCACCCCCGTCGGACTCAACTTGTATCGGCCCCAATCCCTGCTGGTCCCGTCTGTCTAAGATCTAAACACAGCGTGGGTAGACAGACCGGAGATCAGTACAGTTGCTTCAGTAACCAGGTATTGGAAGCGAGTTGGGAAAGGCGAGGCTGGTGATCATCTAACCAAGGGGTTGGAGCGGCACGCTTGGAACCAGGAGGAGCGACCAGGAGGAGCGACGTCACAGTTGGCGCCGTAACCAAAGGATTCGACCCTGGGCCAGGTGTAGACCGTCACACGTGTATGTTTTTTTTGTTAGAATAAAACATACTTGCCATTCCTTTTCCTTTAAGCCGCTCTACTATGTCCATTAATTACAAGGCTATTATATCACAGATATAATAATTATTATATCACAGATATAATAATAATTATTATATCACAGATATAATAATTATATCAAAGACATAATAATGACCATCATGGGGAGAATAAATAAACCATAAATCTCATATTTTACAGGATATCTATATATTACTTTACTCTTTGTATGACGTCTTAAGGATAGGGATGCTGGAAAAAGCAAAAAAAAAAATGCCATTTGTTGCAATCCCCAACCACTGCACCCCCACACACCATTACATTTTTTTTGTATATTTTCCTTCTTAATGTTCAACTATAATGATTTGCCAAGGTACATAAAGTCATTTATGTGCCATAAATTAATAACGTTTAGGCGATTATGTATCTTTCCATACATGATTGATGAGGCAGATTTTTTTCCCGCAGTAGGTTACCATTTCTTTCTGCGGTAGACCAGTTGGCATCCAAGGCTACAGAATCCGGTCTGTCCTGCTATTTACCCATAGCTTGGGGGAGGGAGAAGAAGAGGATTCATAACTTTCCCAAGGGTATCAGCGCGTAAGTGAATGTAATAGATTAGATAGATAGATAGATAGATAGATGTGAATAGACTGAGATAGATAGATAGATAGATAGATGTGAATAGACTGAGATAGATAGATAGATAGATAGATAGATGTGAATAGACTGAGATACATAGATAGATAGATAGATAGATAGATATTGAACAAAATGAGATAGATAGATAGATGTTAGAATTATTTGATAGATGATAGATAGATAGATAGATCAATGTAAACAAACTGAGATAGATAGATAGATGTGAACAAAATGAGATAGATAGATAGATAGATGTGAATAGAGTGAGATAGATAGATAGATAGATAGATAGATAGATGTGAACAAACTGAGATAGATAGATAGATGTGAATAGACTGAGATAGATAGATAGATAGATAGATGTGAACAAACTTAGATAGATAGATAGATGTGAACAAACTGAGATAGATAGATAGATAGATAGATAGATGTAAACAAACTGAGATAGATAGATAGATAGATAGATAGATGTGAACAAAATGAGATAGATAGATAGATAGATAGATAGATAGATAGATGTGAACAAAATGAGATAGATAGATAGATGTGAACAAAATGAGATAGATAGATAGATGGATGTGAACAAAATGAGATAGAAAGTTATGTTGTTATGCTATTTTTACGAATTAGGCGACCATGTATCTTTCGATACATGATTGACGAGGCAGATTCTTTTTTCCCGCAGTAGGTTGCTATTTCTTCCTGCGGTGGAAGAGTTTGCATCCAAGGCTATAGAACCCGGTCTATCCTGCTATTTACCCATAATGAATTCATGGGAAAGAAGAGAATCATACCTTTCCCAAGGGTATTAGCACGTAAGTAAATATAATGAATTCGACTGGAATTCAAACTCGGCTCTTCGATTCCTCAATCCGAGCCGCTATCGATTACTCCACCGTGACTTCTCGTCCAAGGCACTCATAGTAATAAGATGGAACAATTCCTTCTTACGAATTTGCATATTATCATGGCTTTATTATCACAGATTTTTCATTGGCCAAATAATTTTGCGTGTTTTTCCCCGCTTCAAACTGATTTCAGACATTACTATCTATCTATCTATATCCACTGGTAAACAATCTTGATCTGTTTTTATATCTATAACTTCTTCTCCCCCAGCTATAGGTTAATTAGCAAAACTGATATCACTTAAATCATTATCTCCCCACCCCGCAAAAAATCGTGTTTAGAATATTTAGACTTTGGCATTAAATAACGTGTAGAGGTTGATATGCTGCTAAACAAAACAATCAACAACAACCTTTATCAAAGAAGCTCTGAAATATGATGTAAGATAACCTGTCAGCAATTTTTTCTCAATTTACAACTTTAATTAAATACTAGACCACCCGTGATCCGTCGGCTCAACCTTGTGTTACTGTTTACATTTAGTTTCATGAAGAGTTTGTGGAATTAGAGAGATTTTAAAAATAAATCCATTTGCAGTTCTTGAAGTTTCTTTCAACATTAAAAAAATATCTGTTTGAAGAAAGTTGAAATAAAAATACTTACTGTATAAATAAGTCGTGTTCTTTTTTAAAATCATATATATACATATTACCCATTGAATGTTCAAATTATAAAACATTGAAGTTGCTTTCAACATTAAAAAAAATCGTCTGTTTGAAGAAAGTTGAAACAAAAATATTTAAAATATGTTTTGTTTAAAGAAAGCTGAAATATGAATAATCACGCACGAAATCACGAGAGAGGTGAATGGAAAGAGAGAGCGTTTTTTTCTTCATTTCTTTCTCTCCCCACGCTTCCTACACGATGACAAATTCATCTTTCTTTAACCACTCTCTATATATGACTTCTGGCAAACACACAAGCAACGTTCACATACATTTATAGTAATAAAGATGTTTTCTTTTCTTACTTTTTGTTTCTATATTACATTTTTGGCAAAATTTAACTTTCCTATCCCATCAAAAAAAAAAAAAAAAAAGAAACATGTTGAAAGGAGAGAATTTCCGTTGACACCACTATTATTTTGTATTTACTCAGCAGTGTTTGTTTACAAGATTATAAAAATATGTGAACGAAGTACAATTCGACATTTATTATCTTTTTTGAAGATTTATTTGCCATTTTATAAAGAAATAAATTTGAAAGCATTTTATTCAAAAATTTATAAAAATTAAAAATATATGTAAAGCATCTGCAACGCAATATTTACCATGTTATAAATAACCATGAAAATCATAAAAAATATCAACGAATTGCTGATAAAATAAAAAAAATTTCTGAAAATGTGTTTTTTGTTTGTTTTTTGTTTGCTTTTTATTTTTGTTTGTTTTTTTAATTTTTTGTTTTTTTTCTTTTTTCTTTTTGCTTTTTTCTTTTTTCTTTTTCTTTTTATTTTTGTTTGCTTTTTTATTTTTTGTTTGTTTTTTTATTGTTTTTGTTAGTCTTCGTAATCTGTTTATTTAATTTTTCATGTTTTACAATTTTTTTATAAATCTATAAATAACAAAAATTCACATACATTGTATTAGTAGGTTTGTGTTTTTAGAATGTTGCAAATGCAAAATTCTTCCAAATAAACAATCTAATAAATAAATACTGTAAATTCTCAAAGATCAGAGAAAATGTATAAATTGACTTCCAGATGTTAGGATTTTAATAAAATTTTAATCATCGCTTTTTAAAAAGAACAAATATTACCAGCGGGGCTAAATGTAATTAAAATACTAACAGTGTGAAGGGAAAATTTGCTCTTTCGACACACCATTTTATTGCGAGCACGAAAGCTAAATATTGCCACATTTTCGAATATGGCCGCTTTGATCCAATATTAAAATATTTTAACCCATGAAAATATTTAAATATTTGAGATTCCTTTTAAGTGGGAGGTACCCTTGAAGATGAAGTATCATTTCAGAAAGTAGTAAATGAGAAAACCCCTCGAAAATGACCGCCAGCATGTTCTTAACTGGGGCAATGATCGGATTGTAAATTTTAAAACCTCTAAAGCGAAACTTATCTTTTAATTACCCTTCAATCAGCATGCCTGATGCTAACCCTCAGGGGAGCAACACATTGCATCATATTGGTTTCGCGTTCTCCACTGAAATGAAGTGGGATGATTATATTGAATCAATTGCTAGATCTACTGCTAGAAAAAGTTGGTTCTGTGTGTCAGGCCAGATAATTTTTTTCTTGTCATAATCCATCTTGCACAGTTATAAATCTTCCATTGTCCATGCATTGAATATTGGTGCCATATCTGGTCTGGTGCTTCTGTTATATATCTTGAGATTCTCAACAAAATCCAAAGAATATAATGTTATTGGTCCTCACCTAGAATCATGAATTTACTTTCCCACCACCAAAGTTTTTCTCATCAGAATCCATCTTGCACATTTATAAATCTACCATTCGTCCATGCATTGAATATTGCTGTCATATCTGGTCTGGTGCTCCTGTTATATATCTTGAGATTCTCAACAAAATCCAACGACTTTACTTTCCCACCGCCAAAGTTTTTCTCATCAGAATCAATCTTGCACATTTATAAATCTACCATTCGTCCGTGCATTGAATACCTTTTGCCATATCTGGTCTGGTGCTCCTGTTATATATCTTGAGATTCTCAACAAAATCCAAAGAAAATATAATGTTATTGGTCCTCACCTAGAATCATGAATTTATTGTTTCCCATTCAGATTTTTTTTTTCTCATCAGAATCCATCTTGCAATTTATAAATCTACCATTCGTCCATGCATTGAATATTGCTGCCATATCTGGTCTGAAGATTGCTCCCTGTTATATATCTTGAGATTCTCAACAAAACCCAAAGAATGTAATCTTATTGGTCCTCACCTAGAATCACGACTTTACTTTCCCACTGCCAAATTTTTCTCATCAGAATCCATCTTGTACATTTATAAATCTACCATTCGTCCATGCATTGAATATTGCTGCCATATCTGGTCTGGTGCTCCTGTTACATATCGCGATATAGTTCCTTGTTCTGACCATTGTGAAAGGCTTCACTCTATCTTTTCTACAACCGTTTTCCTGGTGGTTGTTCTAATGAACTTTCGACCTTGGTACCTCGACTGCATGAATTTAATTGTATTACTAAATTGGAAAATGTCTCATTGTTTTAGCTAGATGTAACCATAAGTACTATTTTAATAGCTTTTCTCGCCTGTGAAACTCACTTTTGATTTCTTTCTTCCCTGCCACATGAATCTTAAAAAAAATTAAATGCAACATCAACGGCCATTTTGTTTTCTTGAGCTTGTCCTTTCTCACTACTAAGGTATCCCATTCTTTTTACTTCTAGTAACTCCTTGTGTCTTAATGGCATTAACGGCTTGCGTCTTAGTGGCATTAAAACCTTTCCTGTAGGGAAAAACGATTACTTACTATCCATCTTCAAGAACAATTATTTGGCAAGCAGCTTCTTAGTAATTTTAAGTCTACACTCTAGTGGTTCCCAAACATATTTTCTCTGTGCCGCCTTTTCGGATCGAAAATTTGCTCATGCCTCACCAAATTTTATATGATAAAAATACATTTAAAAATAAAAAAAAAACAGTGGTTTACAGGGAGATAACCGCAGATGTGAAATAAGAACATTATCATTGATAACTCTCTTCTCTAATTTGAGGACTCCACTTACTATATTCTTAATACTTGATACAATAAAAAATATTACAATGATAAAATCGGTTAATAATTATAACTATTTATACTAAGATTCATGCATGCAATTAAAAGTAATCTATAGTAATATTTTAAGTTTTGAAATCATTTATTTTCGGCATATGAATTTTTTTGAAATGATTTCTAGATCTTTTATTGTCTTTCAGTCAGTCCCACCGCAACATTTCGGAACCACTGCCTTAATGAAAATAATCCTATCGATCCTATCAAAGGTGAAGGCCTGTAGTAATAGGGTAGGTTGGTTGATTATATATATATATATATATATATATATATATATAGGAAGAGGTTATAGTAGTTCCAACGAGAGAAAAGTGTGTATATTAAAAAGAAGAGAGAAACCGCAAACGTTTTTGGTTATAATGTGGTATTTTAACATTAGGTATTATGCTTTATTTTCCATAATTTTGTTACACGAGTTTCAGGTCTCGCGATCGTCATCAGGCAAAGGGTGAAGATTTTCACATATTATTAAAAATAATTAAATTTTTGTTTTTCGATGTTAAATATTATCGATATGAGACATTCTCTTTTTTGAGTGTTAGTGACCCAAAGGTCTTTCTGAAAATGGCAGTGGTTATAAAACAATTAAGATTGGTCCGAGAAATGTTGAAGGAGTTATCGGCATTCTTATCTTTTAATGACCCCTGTGTGTTCTTAGATCTATTTCTATTTTCGTGTGTTTTTGTCAGCATGCGTGTAGTATGTATGGAGAGGGAATATACACGCATTGTACTCAGTGTGAACGTTTGGATTTGATTTCAGAAGTACTAATACCAAATGTCAGATTCATAGCTCTTACCAGTTTTTGAGCATTTAGTTTTAAACACATTCTGAAAAATGTACAGAAATACACAATTTCTACTGGTTTTTGCTTACAAACTAACTTCAAAAGTTTACTATTTCAAGAATAAATCCAAATAAAGTTAATCTTTTGTATTAGATACACTAAATAGAAATTATATTCAAAACCAGAATTCTCATTGTGAATCACCACAAGCAAAATATGCATTTTTTTTTACTGTAATCAGTAAGTAAAAGCTGCAAAAAAATGTAAAAGATTACAAAAATGCCTTAGTTATGTGTCATGCGTGATACACGCTTAGGCGATCATGTATCTTTCGATAACATGACTGACAAGGCAGATTTTTTTCCTACAGTATGTTGCCATTTCTTTCTGCGGTAGACCAGTTGGCATCCAAGGCTATAGAACCCGGTCTGTCCTGCTATTTAACCATAGATTAGGGGGCGGGGAAAAGAGGATTCATTTCCTTTCCCAAGGGTATTAGCACGTAAGTGAATGTAATGGATTCGACTGGAATGAATAAGATTTGTTCGACCAGAATTAATAAACAAAATAGTAGATAAATGTATATACAATAAATGTATATAACATCGTATTGTTGGGAACATATATTACACAAATGTTTTAAATTTTCAATGTTTATTGAAAATGGCACTAAAACTACTGCACTGGATAACATTTGCCTTTGAAGTAAATGAAGGTCTTATTTGATGGCACAATGATTAATGTGAGTGTGCCATGCACCTTGTCCATATACAATTTGTAAAGCTTCAATAAATTATAAATTTTATAAGGCTTTCACTGGAATGAAATTTCCAACATTACGATTTTGAACCTAAACTTAATCTTTTAAATTCATCTCCTCAAAAAGCGGTAACCATTTGGAAAGATAATTTGTTTCTTTATTTATCATGTGAAACAGCAACTTTCAAATTGAGCGCAATACCTCCAAAATTGGCCTGTCCTACCGTAGCGTTGACGATTGCTATTACCATGTTATTGCACAAAATCAGCAATAGTCAATGAAATGAAAATGGAAGCTTATGTACCCAAAATATCAAATGAAGTGATTCGTGATGTTTGCAATTCTAGTGGTCGGCATTATCAGCAATAGTTATACCAGACCAACCGTCATTTCGAGCGCCTGATATAACTAAAAATGATTGTACACTTGTTTTTTAATTTGAATAAAAAAATACAGTTATCTTAAATAACACCGTATTAAATATTCAAAATGTATTTTGGCGATATCCCGTATATTGGGAATAACATTTTTGTTACTGTCGGTAAAATCATTAAAAATGAGAGAATCTTAGAAACATCGTTAAGGAGAGAGGACAATAAAAGATTAGGATTCGAGAATGGAGGGGATGACGATTAATATTGCATTTAAATTTTTGAAGATTAAAGTTGGCTGGAAAGACTTTCATTTAGTAAATGTCTTGAATGAATGTACAATTCACTGCCGTTGAAAACTAAGGACATTTTAAATAATAGTAGCAGATTCGGGACTTGTTGGCTACTTTCAGGGTTACCTCCTCCTTAATTCCCTAATTGCTCACTAGAGGTCTTTCTCCCTACACCATAAATACTGGGTGACTTCTTGCGTCGTTCTTTCTCTCATTTCTTCATTTCAGCGAACACCTCTACAATGTAAGCTCTCGTTTTGCCCACTCTTGGGAATAACGCCATGAACATTATACATACATGCACGTACGTACGAACATTCACCAAAGAACAAACACAAATGTTCACACACACGCAAATGTTATTGTCTATGTTCATTGTAAAATTGTCTTGTTTAATACATATATTGGTTGATATATATATATATATATATATATATATATATATATATATAGGTAACTATACTCGTCTCGAAAAACCTTCGAATTTTTGATTTGCCAATAACCAAATCAATCTCGAAGGAAAAAAGGTTTTAAAAAAAAGAAAGAGCCAGGAACATGAAAGTCTGTCGAAAACAGCGCACAGATACAGGTTCAAAGCCCAAAGAAAAAACCCCGACACGAGTAAACAACAAACTAAAAGAGCTCAATACAACCGTAGAGCAGACCTAGATAAACCTAATGAGCCAGACAAACCTACCCAGGTTTCACCTAAGCGGATCATCAGGGAAAGCTTGTTTTCTTTACATCTTCGCTTGGACCAAATTTAAGTCCGCCATTTTTAGCAGGATATAAACGTTTCTAACCCAACAACACGCCAACACACAACGGTCCTCTACACTACTTCTAATAAGGTTTCTACAAGAATATTTTGGTAATTTGTTTTTTAAGCCCCGCGCTAAATATGTAATAAAAATTTGCTGAATAGTTATATTTAGGTGCAAATGTATATGCTTTATTGGAAAATAACAAAGAAATTTTGATAAAATCTACCGTTTTGAGGTTCTCGACAATAGAAGTTCGGACTCATTCGCGTCGCGGCAGCCATTACTGGCGTTGTTTGCATACATTTACTGCGGAACTGTCTTGATTATTGCGCAAACAATGAGTCCTCAGTTGCGCAGTAATTGAATCAAATAAGAACCGTCAAAAGGCCGTTAACAATGTAATCATTCGTGCAAATCTAATTAGCAGCAAATGAATGCAAACAACGCCAGTAATTATTGCCGTAACGTGAATGAGTTCGAACTTTAGTGTCGATAATTCCTAAACGGTAGATTTTATCAAAATTTCTTTGTTATTTTCGAATTAAGCAAGTAAATTTACACCTAAATATAACTATTCGGTAAATTTTCATTACATATTTAGCGCAGGTCTTAAAAAGCAAATTAACCGAATATTTTTTCAGGAAATAATGGCGGTGAAAAGCTACATGCACAAAACAACAGACTGATTGATTTACAATGTAAGGTAATATTTATTAAAACAAATTAACAAAAGGAAAGTTTAATTTTTTTTTCTAAAGAATAAATTACATACAGAACGGAGAATGTTAATGAATGTATTTGAATGTGATTTTCTTGTGTAGGTGCGTTTGTGTGTGAAGCGTTCAGTGTGAAAAGTAAATGAATAATTATTTTAGCATAAAATCTTTCTTTTTCTGGGTGCTTTTTATATATATAATTCATTAACAGTTTTTACACCTGTCTATAGTAATGTTAACATTCATCGAAAAAGAATTCCCTGTGCGTGTGCAATTTAATAAGCAGACCTACCAGGCAGGCTTGTGTTTTCAAAATGGAAATTATAAATGCAATTTTGAATTGCACATGCTGTTCTACCAAATACATCTCACCCTGTCGGGTGGGGCCTCAGAATATGCCGATTGAACCTTTGCAGAGGGGTAAGACTCCTTACCCCCACCAACAACTTCGAAAGAAGGAATAACAGGAAGAGACAGTTAAGTGTTCGTCTGTTTTAAATTTTTTTTTGTTTCATTTTTTTTTTTTTTTTTTTAGGTTGAAAAAAAAAATAATGACGTAATAATGTCGTTTTGTGATGTATTTTAACATCAAAAAACGACATTATTACGTCATTATTTTTGCACCAACCTAATAGTTCCCTCGGGGCTGATGCTTTTAAGGTACTACAAGACAATATTTACCTGGCACAGGGCTCCTAACTTTTAAGTATCACTGTTATGACTAGCTTAGACCAGCTCTGACTAGCTTGGACAAGCTATGACCAGCTAAGACCAGGTTTAGACCAGCGGCCCGAATGGAAACACTCGGGTTCCCCACTTTAAAAACTGACCTTGTGTCACATCCTGACTCAGTGGGGGATCAAGTAAATATCTACTACAAGACAATTATAACTTAAACTGTATTCATCCCGATATAGGAATTGTATTCAATCAATTTATGATTTACGAACTAATATCTAAAAATAAATTCCACTTTTGATACTGATGACTGATGGGAAAGTCATTAGAAGTTGGATGAGGATAAACTCTTGCTGGGGCTCCAATGTTAACCGCTATCATTTTTCCCTAGGACTATTTTCTTGTCATCAGGTTTTATTGTTAGCTAGCAGCAGTTTATGACGCAAGAGGTGAAGGTCTAAAGCTGTTCTTGTCCTTTCAGTGCGTTACCTGTGTCTCATTGACGTGTTGACAGTTAACAGACAGTATGACCTTCCGTAGACAATCATTTATCCTTGACTCGTGACATTCTGTTTAGGTGTATCGTGTGATACATAGCTAATTTGCATATCACTTTAATCGCTGGAAAACTGTTATGAATAATTATTTTAGCATAAAATCTTTTTTTTGTGGGTGTCTTTTTATATATATATATATAATTCATTGACAGTTTTTACACCTGTCTATAGTAATGTTAACATTCTTCAAAAAAGAATTCTCTCTGCGTGTGCAATTTAATAAGCAGACCTACCAGCCAGGTTTGTGAAAGAAAAAATGGAAATCATAAATGCAATTTTGAATTGCACATGCTGTTCTACCAAATACATCTCACCCTGTCGGGTGGGGCTTCAGAATACGCCGACTGAACCTCTGCAGAGGGGTAAGACTCCCCCCACCCACAAATGAGGCGTCCTGGGTAAGACGATAAACTACGTCTACGTTTTGAGGAACGTAGAACCACCTTTTAATTGCTGGTGTTCCCAGGTCCACCCTGACCTGGGGTGGTAACACCAGTTAGGTTCCCAACTATGGACAAATAGTTAACTCCAAAACTAGTGTCAAAACACTATGAAAGTGCAATAAAAATCTTTTCGGCATTAAATAACATCTTGAGGTTGATATACCGTAAAAGAAAAAAAAAACAATATACACTGAGATAGATAGATAGATAGATAGATAGATTACCAGGAATGAAAAACTTTTCGGCATTGAGGTTGATATACCGTAAAACAAAAACCAAACCAATATATACTGAGTGGAAACAATATTACCAGCAATACATTTTTGTAAAAACATTACCAGCAATACATTTTTGAAGAAAAAAAAATACATTACCAGCAATATATTTTTGAAGAAAAAAAATACATTACCAGCAATATATTTTTGAAGAAAAAAAAAATACATTACCAGCAATATATTTTTGAAGAAAAAAATATTACCAGCAATACATTTTTGTAAAAACATTACCAGCAATACATTTTTGAAGGAAAAAAATACGTTACCAGCAATATATTTTTGAAGAAAAAAAATACATTACCAGCAATATATTTTTGAAGAAAAAAAATATTACCAGCAATACATTTTTGTAAAAACATTACCAGCAATACATTTTTGAAGAAAAAAAATACATTACCAGCAATATATTTTTGAAGAAAAAAAATATTACCAGCAATACATTTTTGTAAAAACATTACCAGCAATACATTTTTGAAGAAAAAAAATACATTACCAGCAATATATTTTTGAAGAAAAAAAAATATTACCAGCAATACATTTTTGTAAAAACATTACTAGCAATACATTTTTGAAGAAAAAAAAATACATTACCAGCAATATATTTTTGAAGAAAAAAAATATTACCAGCAATACATTTTTGTAAAAACATTACTAGCAATACATTTTTGAAGGAAAAAAATACATTACCAGCAATATATTTTTGAAGAAAGAAAAATACATTACCAGCAATAAAAATCTTGTCGGTATTAAATAACCCATTGAAGTTGACATAACATAAAACGAACCTAAAGTAAATACATCAGCGCTCTCTAGTGGCGAAAATGTCAGTTTTAGCATTACATAGCGAATGAATTAAACAATTTGCTTTTATTCTGCATTGATTTGAATTTTTGGAGATTTTAACATTGATCGCCAATCACACGATAACGAGAGGTTGACGTCATAAGTTCTCGTTTTTGTGATTTTGGCATCAAGGCTACAACCACTTTTTTTTTTTTGCAAATAACTGGTACCTGGTGTCTAAGACAAAAATGAAAAATGGTGCTGGCAATTTAAAAAAAAAAAAAATTATGGGAAAATGAATTGAAAATAGAACACAAATGAAGCATTTACAAAAAAAAATATTTCTAAGTTGGATATTATAAAGTTTGAGTTTTCTGGTGTAATGGCTCAGCTTGAGAAATCGGAATGCCGAGTTCTAATTGCAGTCGAGATCATTGCATTCACTTACGCAGAAATATCCTTGGGAAACATAAATCAATCTCTTCTCCCACCTCCAGCTATGCATTGAATAGCAGAACAGACTGGGTTCTATAGCCTTGGCTAGCAACCCAACTGCGGCAGAAAGAATTGGCAAACTTCGGCCTAGTTGGTCATGAATCGAAAGAGACATGCCCAAGCGTGTAACGTGTATGGCGATTAAGTGATTATAAAGTTGGCTATGATAAAGTCAGATTTCGAAATTGACCTCTGACAGTCAACGTGTTAAATATTTTTTTCATTTGAAGATCGATATACACAATACAATAGCAATTGTCAGGTGTATTTGTAATAAAAATGTCAATGTCACTTTGAAACAAAAACTGACCTAGTTTACAACACTATCAATAGACGGTTAGCAATTTGAATATGATTTGCGTAGTTCTCTGTGAACACACACACACACACACACACATATATATATATATAATTATTATTATTTTAAAAAAATATGATTCCTTCGCTACATAAGAGTTCTCAGATTTCCAAAACAAGAGCTGAAACTTCAATATAATTATTAGAATTGAATTCAAGTACCAAGCTCTGTTTCATCTTCAAGCGAAATTTTTAGAATCCAAAAATTTCGCTTGAAGATGAATCAGAGCTTGATACTTTAATTCAATTTAATTCTACTAATTGAAGTTTTCAGCTCTTGTTTTTGAAACATGAGAACTCTTATGTAGCAGAGGAATCATATTTTTTAAAAAATAATTATAATTCAGGCTTTACTTTCGTATCGAGCACTGTTAAAAAAAAATTAAAAAAAATTACTGTAGAACTTCGGATTATTTACCTAACGAGTTCTTTCCTATTTTCTATATATTTGCATAGTCCCGACGGACGAGCAAGTGTGTATGTGCGTCTGCGTACCTCATCTGATGTACAGACATGCATCTATGTTTGCGTTAGTAAGATGACATCACGACGACGATTCCCCCCACTCCCATAATAACACCAATACACGAAATCTACATAAACCTAAATTTTTAAAAAAATTAATCAGTTTGTCTGACGATCGCAAAAGCGTGAAACCCAGGGTCACAAACTCACATCAATCCAACCATATATATATATATATATATATATATATATATATATATATATATATATATATATATATATACACGGAGATGGTATAGATGGAATAAAATTCCGACAACCAAAAAACACTATTCTTAAACGAGTGCTCAATACAGACTAGAGTAAATAATATTTATTCAAAAATTATAATAACTATAATGTTTATAGCATCACTACAAAAATAGCCATTTCGTTTCAACACTTCTGGTCTCTTGTCAAGTTATGGTATTGACACAAAATGGCTATTTTTGTAGTGATGTTATAAACATGCTTATGTTATAATTTTTGAAATATTTATATATAACTGCCAACTTTTCTTCGTTGAGTTGAGCAGCCATACGCCCAAAGATGACTTTGCAAACCAGCCTCTCACTTGCATACCGTTTTTCCATGTGACACTGTTATACCGGAACGTACCTATTCTATTGTAAATAGACTCTCCCTCAGATAAGTCGTAGTAGTAGCAGTGGCCAGTGGGGCTCAGTGGAGTTGAGTGAGTCAGTCGATGTCGGACATTAAATTATGAGCCCCACAACTAGATTGCTGCGTCATTAGCTATTATTTCAAGTTCCTAACGTTTTGTACGTCAAACCTAATTTAGGACCGACTGTGAAAACTCCACTGTGAAAACTACTCTACAACAGACACATAAAAGGCTTTTGGAGAGTCTTGAAAGTAACTTTCTCGTCTTGCACTTTCAGGTGTTGCTCTATCCCAGTGACAGATCTGAAATTTTTATCACAAAACTGACATAAGTACCTTGTTGGTCTGTCAGTAAAGACATCCACATAGTTGTCCTGTGTATGACTATAAGCTACATCTGGCAGAAAGGCCTCTGATTGGGAGATTGGATGTTTTAAGGAGTGTGGAACTACAACTTAACCGCTGGCGTTCCCAGGTCCACCCTGACTCGGGGTGGTAGCACCTGTTAGGGTTCCTGCTATGGGCAAATAATGAACTCCCAACCAAAACTCAGAAGCAGGTTTTGATAATAAAATGAGCAACAATACATTTTTTATAGCAAAATGACACTCAATGCAACACAAAATATAAACAAACATTTTCATAGTAAAATTATTAACAATACATTTTATGAGCGACAAAATATATATCTAAAAAACATATGTTTAACCTGAAAGTATAAAATTATTTACAAAATATCGATGGTTGAAAGCATAAAATTACATAAAAATATTTAGATTTTGGCATTAAGTAAAACATAGAGGTTGTTTTGGATATCGGTTGAGGAAAGACCTGGGTAAGACGATAAACTGCTTCCGCGTCCTGGGTAGGACGATAAACTACATTCGACAGCAAGGCCTCTGATCAGGTTTTGAGGAGCGTGGAACCACCACTTAATTGCTGGTGTTCCCAGATCCGCTCTGACCCTGGGTGGTAGCACCTTTTGGGGCCCCAGCTATGGGCAAATAGTTAACCCACAAACTACAGCCAAAACATTACCGGCAATAGATTTTTATAAAATAAGTTTTTTTTTTCTTCAAAAATTATCAGCAATACATTTTTTGAAAAAAAAAAAATCACCAGCAGTATTTCTAAAAACAAAGAAATATTACCAGAAATACTTTTTTGAACCAAAAAATATTACCAGCAATATAAATCTGGTCGGTATTAAATAAACCATTGAGGTTGATATGCCGTAAAAGAAACCAAACCATTTTCCAGACTTGACAGGGTTCAAAAGTATTTGCGCAGCCTTGTTGGTGTTAGCCTGACAACCTCTGCAGCATCCATGATAAGCACCATCTGAGAGCCTCTGATTAACAGAGGACACACAAGATTCCTGCAATTAAGTACAGACATTAGATATACGGCATTAAGATATTAGGCAAAATAACACGACTGGGTTATCTCAGACATATAAGGCATAATGGATTATCTGGCTCCTGGTGCATTAGATATTTTGGTTCGGTAAAAGAGACTAACATTAATGTCATAATGTTGCTTCTCCATGCATTTTTTTCTCTAAATAATTTCATGGTAATTGTTCTGATAAGCTTTTCTCTTTTGTATCTCAACTTTACGAATTTGAGCGTATTACTAGATTGGCAGCTAGGTCTCATCATTTTACAGATAAAATGGCTTTATGTAAACATAAGTTCTATACTAAGTTTCTTTTCTAAAACTTCTCGCTGATTGAACTCTCTCTCCCGACTTTTTGCTTTCCAATCAACTTTGATATTCAAAAATTAAAATATGATATCAGTCGTCATCTATCTTAATTATTGTTCTCTTTGTGTTGTCTTGTTCTTTTTCTATTGGCGTTGTCTTCTTGATCAATTGCCGTTGCCTTATTTTTTGGCAAAAGTGACATTGTTATTAATCACTTAAGAGAAGTGGATGAAGGTTCTCTTTACTCTAACTGTGAATCAAATATCGGAATTGCCTTCAATCAATATAATGTTAAATGGAGAAACTACTGATGAAATTTTTAAAAACACGCCCTTCGACTTTGGCAGGCAATTGTACATTCATTTACTAAGCGTTTTAAATGAACGCCTTCCAGTCAACTAATATTCAAAAATTTAGATGCAATATCAATCGTCATCTTCGCTTTTTATGAATCCCGTTTTTTGTCGTTTACTTAATTATTTTTTCAGATTCTTTCAGTCTCA